GGGCTCTACTTCTGGTGTGGAGGGTGTACTGTCCCAAGCTTCAGGGGTTTGTGCAGCTGTTTTCAGAGGTACTAGGGAACCTATAAATTTTCAGTTCTTTGAAGGTGGTATTATCAAAGGAGTGGTGTTTATTCCTTTCCTGGCCTGAGCTCTGGTCTATGCATGACCACAAGCACTCTTTTCTGCCTTGGAACTTTGAGGAGGATTCCTTCTGTACCACAGCCACAAACTCCACCTCGACGGTGGACCACCATCCGGGACTGTGACTCAGATCCAAGCATAGGCAAAGCAAGAGAATCCTGCCTCAGCACCAGAAAAGATATCCCTGCAATCCCCCTCTGATCAGAGCTCAATCCCCCCCCCCACCATCTAGGTGCTGAGGGTTCCAGAAGTAGTCACTACACTTTGGCTGCCACTCAGGGGCTGTGCTGGGGCCAGGGTTGGACTGCGCTCCTCTTACCCTTTCCCACTGACCTTCTGAGTTGTCTTTGGCATTTGTGGGTTGAGAAGTCTAGAAACCGCCACAGCTGCCATGTGATTCAGCAGTTGAGGCCTGCTCCAGGTTTACTGGACCCTCATCTTTGCCTGCAGGGCACACACTGAACTGGCTCCTCTCTCATTCCCTGGGGCAAAAGACCTTTCCTGTCAACCTTCCAGGTTGTCTTGGACTAGAAATTCATTTCACTCTGTCTTTTGTGGGTTCTGCTGCTCTAGAATTTGTTTGGAGTCATTTTTACAGGTATTTGGAGGGATTTGGGGGAGACCTCAAGCAGGTCACTGCTTTTACTCTACCATCTTGGCTCTGCCCCCAATTTTTTCCCTTTTAATTGAAAGCTAGATACTTAGAGTGAAATAATGCTTCTTTTATGAGTATGAGTAGATAGAAGAGTGGAAAACTAACTGTTACAGAATTAGGTATGCTAGCAGCACTATATACCAAATGGATTTTCCTTTTTGCATAATTTGAAGATCAAATGATACTATTAGAAATATTTGTGAGGAAATTCACATTATATTTAATCACATCATTTTTAACGAAATTTTTCAATTTTATAAATGGTGACTTTTTAAATCTAAAATTCAAATACTTTTTGATCAGAATAGTTCCAGTTCTTAAAGTACCATTTTTTTATGCTTCAATAGAGCAAAAATAGTCTTATGGTTGTCTGTTTTGGCTTTAAAAAAAAACTCTACTATGTAATTAGATGTCTTATTCTATTTCATATGATTGAGTACATAGATCATTTCAAATATATGTATATATGTATGTATGTATATGTATATATATATATATATATATATACATACACATGGCAGCTAGGTGACGCAGTGGATAGAATGCTGAGCCTGGAGTCAGGAAGACTTCTCTTCCTGAGTTCAAGTCCATCTTCAGACATTTACTGGCTGTATGTCTCTTACCAAGTCACTTAACACTGTTTGCCTCAGTTTCCTCACCTGTAAAATGGGTTGGAGAAGGAAATAGCAAAACATTCCAGTATTTTTGCCATGAAAACCCTGAAAGGAGGGCTCATGAAGTCAGGCATGACTGAAAAACAGCTAAAAAGTAAACATATATGTGATATATATATGCATATATGTATGTATATATGCATATATGTATGTATATATACACATATGTTGATTGATATATAGATATATATCTATATATCTCCATACAAATTTCTAATTAACTCATAGGTTCTTAATGTCTCATTTAATTTTGTCAGTTAATCAAACACTTACTGTTAGAAAACACTACTACTAGTAAGTAGGGTATGAAATGCCAATGAATTTGAGTGTGGTATACCAATAATGCATTCAGGCCCCAGAGGATTGAGGAAAATATGAAAAGACCTTAATGTAGTTACAAGCTGAGGAATTTAAATTCGAAAAATTTCTCTGGTAATTACTTTATAATTTCGTGTAAATATTAGAAGGATTATTGTGAGATGTAGAAATCTCCTTCTCTGAAGAGTTTTAATGCCAAGATCAAATCTCACCTCTATGATTTTTTTTAAAATATAGGTTTTATTGATAGTTTGTTCTCATACCATAACCATCTCCAGTCATATATTACAACCCTAAATAAGTCATCTTTTTTAATAGATAAAAAATAATTAAGCAAAACAAATTGTCAAAGTTACCATATCTGGCTATGAATACGTCATTCAACACTGATATTCTTCCACTTATCCACTAAAAGAAAACAGTTATGTTTTGTCATAAATTCTCTAGGACCAAGACTCATCATTATGTTTAATCAGTCTGACGTCCTTTTAGTCTTCTTTTTGACAACATTATTTTAGTCATTGTGTATATCTATATAACTATAATGGTTTGAGAAGGTAAAGTATGTACTAATTGGAAATTATGAATTCTGTAAGTCATTATTTTATACTTTTCAAAATTAAAATTAATTAAAATTATTTTTTTTCAATTTTTAAATATTTATTTTTTCTCCCTCTTATGTCACCCTGGGGGGGGGGGGAAATCCTTGCAAGAAATAAGCATAATGATACAAAATTAATCCCCTCATTGCCATGTTCAAAAAAGCATATCTCATTTTGCATATTAGTCAATCAACTATCATCATCAGTCCTCTGGTTTCATAATTGATCATTTCTTTAATTGGAATTACTATGTCTTTCAAAATTATTTTTACAATGTTGATATTATAGCATAAATTATTCTTCTGTCTCTATTCATTTCACCCTATAACTTTACATGTCTTTCCAGATTACTCTAAAACCATCCCTTTCATCACTTTTTACAGTACAAGAGTATTCCATCACATTCATGTTCCATCATTTGTTAACCCACTCTCCAGGTGATGGGTAACCCTTTAGTTTCCCATTCTTTGTCACTCAAACAGAGTTACATTTTTGAGATACACATTTTTGAACATAGCCAATGAGGGAATTTGTTTGGTATCTCTATGCTTCTTTTATGCAAGAGTTTTACTTTGTTTTTCTTTTCAGAAGGAAAGAAAAAAAGAGAAAAAAGAGTTTGAAAGTTGAAAAAAAATTTTTTTGAAAAGGCATAGTTAATTGGATTAGGTTAAAATAATGACAGAGTATTTATAATTCCCAATTTGTATATATAAAACACCTTTTTCTTTTTAAAAAAAATTTCCTTGGGATTTATAGACTTAGTAATGATATTACTAAGTCTAAGGATATGTATGGTTTAGTAACTTTTGGAATATAGTAATCAAATGCATCTTGATAGGGAACCCAAAATCTCTAAAGCTTAATTACCCTTTCCTGATTCCTAATCCATTCCTAGCACCAGAAATTTATATCTATATTTGAAATTGGTCTCTGTAGAATGATAGATCACATGGAAAGATAGGTCATACAGAACATGGCCAATTGATTCATTAGTAAGCACTTAGAAATCATTAAATCACCTTTAAGTACCTGGGATATCAGTAGAGAAAATGAAACAATCTTTGCTCCCAAAGAGCAACAGGAGTGGATATACACATATGTATACATAGAAAAAAACATAAAGAGAACAACATTACTAATTACAAAGTAAGTAGGAGAGAGGACACTAGTATTTGGAAAGATCAGGAACAGCTCCACGAAGAAGGTGGAGCTTGAATTTTATGTTGAAGAAAGATAAGGACTCATTAAGCCTGTAGTGAGAAAGAACCACATTCCAGGCAGGTGGATGACCAGTGCAAACTCACAAAGATGGCAGATGAAGAACTCTATGTAAAGAACAGAGAGAAGGCCAATTTGACTGGATTGTAGAATGTGAGAGGGAGAGTGATGTACAAAAAAGTTGAAAGATAAGTTGAGGCCAGAGGCTGAAAAGATAGGTTAAGGCCAGGTTGTGAAGGTTTTAAGACTTAAACAAAAGAGTCTAGATTTTATCCCAGAGGAAACAGAGAGCAACTGGATTGTGGTTGTTTTGGTTTGTCCTTCATTCTCGAAGAGGACCATGGCATCAGGGAAATGATGATACGACTTGCAATTGACTTTGATTTGAATGAGGGAGGGCTGTGCAAGGTCACCAGACTCACTTTCTCCTCCAGAGCCATCTGGGTCCACTGGCCTGATATCCATCAGGAGTAACTGGAGCTTGATTGGAGTAGCAACATGGTCAGATATACACTGAGGGAAATTACAATGGCTTCTGTGCAGAGAATGGACTGGCGTGAAGGCTTCAGACTGGGAGACAAGTTAGGAGACTTTTGCAATAGTAGGTCAAATCAGATCAACAAGAATTTGTTAAGCATCTACTATGTGCCAAGTAGAACAAGCAAACAGTTATGCAAAACAAATTGGAGATACCGGAGGAAAGCTCTTAAGATTAAGGAGGAACAGGAATGATTTCTTAAAGAAAATGAGACTTTAGCTGATACTCCAAAGAAGCCACAGAATCCTGAAAATAGATATGAGGAGGGAAACAGTTTCAGTCATGAGAGAATGCTGAAAATTCAAGGAAAAATCAGGAAATGGAGTATCTTGTAGGAGGAATAGCAAAGAGGCCTATGTCAGTAGATCCCAGAGTATGTTGAGGGCAGTAAGGTATAAGAAGATTGGAAAACAGAAAGAGGTCAGGTTTGAAAGGCTTGAAAAGCCAAACATATTTGATCCTGAAGGCAATAGGGAGCCACTGGAATTTGGAATAAGGAAATGACATGGTCAGACCTTTAGGAAGTTCAGTTTGACAGTTGAGTGGAGGATGGACTGGATGGGGAAGAAGAGGTAGGGAAACCAATCAGCAAACTATTGCAACCATCCATCCAAGAGGTACTTGGCACACAGACAGTGCTCAGTAACTCTCTGTTTAAAGGTTTTTTTTTTATTTAAATGTCACTTTTTCCAAGCTTAAAGCAAAGATATTCACCTTGAATTCATATTCTGCATCCAGAGTCTAAATGCTGCCTTTAACATATAGTGATTCACACTGACTGTACAGTATTAAGTATGTTTTGGAGTTGTTCAGGAACTATTCCTGCTCAAACCAATTTTCTTTTCCTTTTATAGATCTCCTTTTGCTGCTGTGACTGACTACTCCCTCACCAGGAATAGTGTCATCCAGCTCTGCCTGGAGCTAACAACAATTGTTCAGCAGGTATAAACCCATTACTTATTTCTTATTTGTTAGCTATGTTCTAGTCACTCATGATAGGATTAGTCCTTTATTCTAAGATTTACCATTAACTCATTCTTAAATTATTCACTTAAATTATTCACAATTACTTGTCTGTAATTATATCAGGTAGTAACAGAAATTAAGCAAATCTTTCTCAGAAAGGACTGTGCACAGCTCTATGTAAAGGAAGTACTAAAAGAGCCTTCATAGGACCATAGATTTTGAACTGGAAGGAACTATTGAGGCAACGGAATTCAATCTCTTGATTTTCCTCAGATGAGGAAACTGAGATACACAACTAAGTAAGAACCTGAGGCTGGTTTTCCAGACTCTAAGTCCATTGCTGTATCCATTGGGTCACCTAGTTTCCTTATAACAACATGATCCAGAGAAATGATTTGTCTGCCTTCCCCCAGCCCAAAGATCTCATTGTTATAACAAAATAATAGAATCCTACAGTTTGATGGACCTTAGAGTCTCTCTCTCTCTCTCTCTCTCTCTCTCTCTCTCTCTCTCTCTCTCTCTCACTCCATCACAAACACACACATATAGCTAGCTATAAATTAGATAGATAGATAGATAGATAGATAGATAGATAGATAGATAGATAGATAGATAGATAAGCAAACCCTGTGATCTTATTGAATTGGTTACTCCTCAAATCAGTGCAGATCCTAATCTGTATGGGTTTTCTTGTCCCATTCCATTTTTGTCCACACTTTCTAAAGATCTGCCAGAGAATACACAACAAATCTTTTTAAGATCTTCCTTTATATAAGGCTTCTTAACTTTTTTGGGTCTTGGACTCTTTTGTAGTCTGATAAAATCCATAAACCCTATTTCAGAAAAACATTGTTAAATGTATACAATAAAATGCAGAGGATTACATAGGAAACTAATTCTATTGAAATACAGATATCAAAATATTTTTTGAAAAAATGAGTTCCTGGACTTCTGTTTAGGAACCCCTACTCTAATTTGTTTCTTTGTTTTGCATTTTGAGGTCCCTTATAGAGTACTTGGCTGTTTCCCAGTATTTTCTCTCTTTTCTGCTATGTGACCAACTCATCTCCTTTTCCAGTTCTACATTTGTTCAATGTAGAAGTCACAAAAAGTCATTCACTACCTTAATTCCCCAGAGACTGGGATATGCTGAAATTTGCGATCAGTAAGTAGCGCCAAGAGATCATCTGTGTTGAAAGTATGAGGCTCTGCACTTTGCACTAAGCACTGGCTTAGTATTACTAAAAAGCAATTTCCCAAATGCAAACCCCCTGGCTTTCTTACTCCTTTCAGTTCTAGTGCCAACTCATTTTCCATTCCTGTACCTGTCCTAAATACATGTCCCATAGCACTAACTTCAAACCAACTACATGTTGTAATATGGACAGTACTCATTTTTCCATTCATTTATTTTAGGTTTGTAAACACACACAACCACAGAAACACAAAAACACATTATATAAGTGTGTGCATGTGTACACACACAAACGTGCTCATGCATACAAGAATGAAGGAAAATATTTTTTTTTACTCTTCTATTCTAAAAAACTCTAACTTTTCCTACAAAATACTCATGGATGTCAGAGGAACCAGCACACGGCGGTAAGTTCAAACAATGAACTGGCCCAACTGTAGACCTTTAAGTGACTTCTAACTTTTTTTTCCTGAAGCTATACCACAAATGAATTACTTAGCATGACAGTTATCCCTAAATAACCATAAACAAATATATGTGTATAAACACATGTAACCCTCAACAATGAGTGATTTTCTAGTTTTTGAAGTAATTGTAAGCCCATTTTTCTGGACACCAACTAACCTTTTAAGCCCCTTCCCCTCTCATGTTGCTTGCCTCTTTCTGGTACAAGTGCCTTTGAAGTGAAAAGTAGAGAAGGTAAGATATGTGGGGGAGGAGGTTGAAACAAGTGACTAAAATTATTGAGTTATTATTGATGGATTTAATTTATCATATTTAATTAATTACTTCTCTCATTGAAAACAATTTTAGTATTTTCTTGTCAAGAACTTTCTCAGCAAAATATATATATATATATATATATATATATATATATATATATATATATATATTTAATATTATATATTTAAAAACCTGCCAATTCTTTTTGCAAGACTTATAAATTTTTTTTTGGCATCATTGCCTACCAAAACTGCATGTTTTCTGTTTGGTAAACAGTATGGGAGCCAAACTTTTTCACTTTTGTATAACAAAACATATAAGATGCTCATTAGAACTGTATTGCAGCAAGAGATGTCAGTAGAGTCAGGGAGTACTTCAAGTTCCTCATTCACATAATGACATCAGGCAAGGCACCATACTCTAATGCTTCCATTTTCCTTGAAGGTTATATAAATTATTATTATTAATATATTGGAAGTAGCAGCATGGTATAGTGAAGCATCTCCTTCAGGATGATTTCCCAATAATCTCCATGTTGTTGAAGGGGATTGATTTAACTCTAAAAATAGGATTAAGGCAGGTAGCAAAAATCTGAGTGAACTTCCTATGTGCCACAAATGGAAAGAGATTGTTTCTGACTTTTTAAATGGACAGCTATACACTCAGTATTTTGATAATAATGTCAGATTGGTAAAAAGCTCAATTTCAGTCTGTCCATGTTGGTTTTATGCCTATGCTTTTATTTTTCAGATATTTATTATTTTTTTCATTCTGAACTTAACAAATCACTCCAGTATCTTTACCAAAAATACCCCATTAAGTCCATGGGGTCACAAAGAGTCAGACACAATTGCATTGACTGAACAATAAAAAGACCATTCACATGTACACTGAAGAACAAGAGTCACTTGTACATGGAACTGCAAGTTTCTATTATATTCAGCTTGCTTTTCTTTTCTATAATAAGCTCATCATGGACTTCTAAAGCTGCTCTCCTTGTCTGTGATTCCTTCTGGCTTTCCTTCTGTTCTCTTCTGAGTTTTTGTTTTTTGTAGACATATCCACAATTCTCCTCTCATTCCTGCCCACCTTCCTCTGGAAAAAAAAGGGAAAAAAATATAAAACAAGACTCCTATTACAAATATGCATAGTCAAGAAAAAATAAATTTCCCTATCAATGATGTCAAAAAGTGTTCATCTTATTCCGGATCTTGCGTCCCTAACGTTCACTGTCAGAAGATAGGCAGTACGTTTCAACATTAGTCCTCTAGAATTGTGAATGGTTTGGTCATTACACTGATGTGAGTTATTAAGTCTTTCCACGTTATTATTCTTTGCATTGTCGTTTTTACTGCATAAAGCATTCTTCTGGTTCTGCTCATCTGTTCACCAGGACTCTATGAATAGTCTCATACAATTAGTCTAGAAAAGCACTTTTCCAGCTTTTTAGTCTCAGGACCACTTTACACTCTTAAAAATTATTGAGAATCCCATTAAGCTTTTGTTTACATGAGTTGTATCTATCAATATTTACCACAATAGCGATTAAAACTGATAAATGTTTTAGAATACTGAATTTATTTTAAAATAATAACTAATAATTTATTTTAAAGTGTTTCATTTTAAACTATACATAATTTTAAATAATTAAATAAATTTAAATAATACAAATAAAATAATTTAAATGAAAATAAATTTAAATTTAAATTGTTAATAATTAAAAATTATTTTAGATAGTAATTTTAAATTATTCTATAGAATTCATTCAATTAATTCATTTAAACTATCAGTCCATTAAAATACATGAATAACATTAAAAATATGAATAACATATTTTATTAAAAATGACTATTTTGCAAAACAAAAACAGTAGTGAGAAAACTATGTGTTTTTGCAACTCTAATGCATAGCTTAATAGAATACAGCTAGATTTTTATGTCTGCTATTAGAATCAATCCATTGTTATTTTGGTTGAAGTATATGAAAATCCAGCCTTACACAGACATGTAGTGGATTGAATCCTGGGCCTAAAGTCAAGAAGACCTGAATTCAAATACAGCCTCACACACTGGCTGTGGGACTCTGGGCAGGTCACTTAATCTCTATTTGCCTTAATCCATTGGAGAAGGAAATGACAAATCACTCCAGTATCTTTACCAAAAATACCCTATTAGGTCCATGGGGTCACAAAGAGTCAGACACAATTGCATTGACTGAACAACAACAACAACAACAACAACAACAAATGATATAGTAATATTATGAAAATAGTCTTTACATCAGAGTCCTCCTGAAAAAGTCTCAAGGACTCCCATGGGTCCACAATCCACATTTTGAGAACTATTGGTCTAGAACATTTAAAATATTAAATCATTCTTACTTTAGAGTCAGGGGAAATCTTATAGATCATCTGGCCCTTCTTAATTTGTCAGATGAAAAAACTTTAGGCACATTTTAAAAATAGGACATGGAAATACATTAAAAACCAATATTTACAAGATTCCGAAATTTAGCCCTTTTTTAACTTTCAAGTTTTTTTGAATGAATTTTTTCATTAAGCTTACTACATATATATGTGTATATATATATATAATAGATTAATTTTGAGTTATTTAGACTTTTCTTTTAAAAAAATAAACTGTTAATAGTTTTTTCTATTTTCACATCACCTAAATTTTACCATATCTATCCCTGCCCCTTCTCCCAGAAAGCCACATTCACCTTTAAAAAAAAAAAAAGGAAAAAGAGAAACAAAACAATCAGCTGATCCCATAAATTCACCAAATATCTGAAAACATATACAGTGTTCTAAATCCATGGACTTCTTACCTTTACAAAGAAGTGAATGTAGGTATCTTCTCATCTCTTTTCTTTGGTATTTGAACCTTTCAAAGAATTGTAATCATTAGCCTTTTTCTTGGTAAGCACTATACTTTTGAGAGGTTGATAGTCTCATAGATAATATATAAATATGTATGTATATGTAAAATTTTTAAAAGAAGGTACTGTTAATAGACTTTAATGGTATTTATCAATGTCCATAAAATATTCATACCAA